TTTGTATATATTCTTTTTCTCCTATTTTTCCTGAGCTCTGTGCATTATTTTTCCCACACTCCTGTTTTTCTGTGGTCTCATGTATTATTAAATACATTTCTTTTTGACTTCACAGCAAAATATTTGGACTTAATTTCCTTGACCTACAACATCATTGCAGGGCAGTTGTGCATCACGTGGAAAGATTCTTTTTCTTGCATTGTGTTCATAGGTGCCAACTCTGTGGGTGTTCCAGGGCTGGAGCACCCACGGGGAAAAAAATAGTGGGTGCTCAGCACCCACTGATGGCCCTGCCGATCAGCTCCTCCCCCTTCTGCCTACCAGTGATCAGCTGTTCAGTGGCGTGCAGGAGGGGAGGGGCGGAGCACATTCAGGGAGGGAGCAGAATGGGGTGGGAAGAGGTGGGGTGGGATGGAGCCTTGGGGGGGGTAGAATGGGTGTGAGGTCTGGGGCCAAGACTCTGGTGAAATTAAAAAGTCAGCGCCTCTGGTCGTGTTAGTGCTGCAGTGTGATGAGGAAAAGAATATATGAAGTTTTGAGGAAAAGAGTTAGTGATGTTGTAACTAAATATTCAGTTCAGAAAATCAAATGGCTTGTTTATTTTTGTTGGAAATCAATGGCTGACACACTATGCAAAAACAACAACAGAATACACACCTCATTCCCCGAGACAATGGAAAATGCCTGCGGCAAAGAGGGGCCCTCATGGAACATTGGTTGTTTTAACTATTCAAATAACCTGCAATAAAAAAAGAGATCCCACTTTAGCAAATAAATTGAGTATGGTGCTGGGAGTCAGGAACTGTTATTCTAGCTCTGCTGCTGATTCACTGTGTTTCATTGGGCAAGCCTGTCTGGGCCTCAGGGCCGGCTCTAACTGTTTTGCCTCCCCAAGCAAAAAAAAAAGAGCGCTGCTCCGTCGTAACACCCCCTCCCAGCGCCGCCCCACCGAAACACACACACGCAGCGCCGCGCTGCTGAAACACCCCCCCAGCGCTGTGCCGCCGAAACACTCCCCCCAGCGCCACGCCATGCCGCCGAAACAAAAACAACCCACCCCCCCAAGCACCGCCCCGCCGAACCAAAAAAACAACAAAAAAACCCCAAGCGCCCCCGCCACCCCAAGATTGACCGCCCCTTACAAGGTGCCGCCCCAAGCACATGCTTGGTTGGCTGGTGCCTGGAGCCGGCCCTGCTGGGCCTGATCCTGCTCTCACTTCAGTTAATGGGAGTAGTATAGAGCCTTCTGAGAGTATTTATCCATACTATATTGAGAGGGTCTGGGATGTGCTAAAGATTAGTATGGGAGGTAGAGACCCTAGGCCATAATTCTCTTGGCCCTCATATTCATCCAATCCAACAATGAAAGTAATTAATCAGAGCTTAAATAACAACAAACAGCAACACGCATTATAATGAAGTAGTAACAACACAAAAATAATCTGTAAGAAACAATCTGTTAAGGACAGGAACTAGCTGAGGGTTACTTTCTTGCTCACTTTAAGCAGAGAAGTTATTAGCTTGTATTTTTAATTTTAAAAAAGAATTATTCTGACTCACATTTTCCTTAACAATATATGTAAAAAGCTACTATGACACTGAGTAACCAGCATCGCACATATAATGTGGAGTGATAGCAAACTGAGCAGGAGAGAAGAGGCATACCTGCAGAAGCAGAAATGAGGGGACAAAAAAGAGATGAATAAAACCATTGTATTACTGTACATTCTAAACACACACTGTGTGCACATTCTGTTATGAACACTCACTTCAAAGAGCTGGGAATTAGGGGGACTGGAACTAGCTGGATAAAGAGATTGGGACTACAAACTAGTGGGCGTGGGGAAAGAGGGCAGATGTGACAAGGACCTGGAGGGCTGGGAGAGAACTGGGACCTGCTGGACAAAGAGACTGGGACCAGGAGCAAAGAAGGTGGGAGAGGAGGCTGACATGAGGAATCCAGGGAAGGAGAATTGGGTCTGGAAGCCACTGCTGAGGGGGAGAGACAGATTGGCTGAGGAGCCAGAAAGGGGAACTGGAACTGGGTGTGCAAGGAGACTGGGACTGTGTGTGGGAGGGAGAAAGACTGGGAGTCAGGGAAGACTAGGACTCAGAGTGATCCCAGTGGGGGAGACTAGGCCTAGCTGGGCAAGGAGACTGGGACTCGGATGAGATGCCTAAAGAGTGGAGATTGGGATGGGTAGGCAAGGAGAATGGGATTGGAACAAGGAGTGAGGTGTAAGGAAGATGCGTGACTTGGACGTAATGCAGGGGATGGGGCAAAAGGGGTGAAGCTCGGGGAAAATGGGTAGAAGAATCTGTCCCAACTGAGCACATTCCCCTCCAAAGCCTGAAATGGAACCATTCCTGAGTCTCATCATTCCTCTGCTGTCAGCAAATATCTGTGACTGGCAAAGTGTGTGTATCAGATCCCCTCTAGTGCTTGGTCCACATAGAGGATGACACCCAATATTGCTATTAGTTAGTCTATTAGCTCAAGTGGCAGAGGTCTGTGCAGTGGATCGAAAGGTTCCAACCCTGCTGGTGACCCACATGGCTGTCATTACGATGCCACATGATGGAATTTCTGTTTTTACAATTTGCTTTATTAAGAACGATATTATACACACAACTATGTTAAAAGAACATTATTAAGGTGGCAAAATTAAGCACTCAGAAGTTAAGAAAAGCCAGAATTAAGGTTGCCTGCGAAACATTAATGTGGCTCACTTGTGTGTATGCATTGTGATATTGTCTTCAATTACATGATCACATAATGTTTTTCCACAGGACGCCTGCTTTGTTCAGTGCACAGGCTGAATCTGTCCAAGGTTGTGCAGTAAAGAAGGCTATTGCCTCTAAGACCCCTGCCCCATCTGTTGCAGAAGTTGAAAGGTTTGTAGCAAATAGACCACAGGAGAAGAAAGGATGGTCTCATGGTTATGGCAACTGAATGGTGCACTAGAGACTTGGATTCTATCCATGTTTCATAGAGGTCCTGTGTAATGACAAGCAAATCATTGAACCATACCTTTCACAGGTGGACACTAATTATGTGTTCCTCATTTTGTGGGTGCCCAACTTGAGACCCTGGGGCTGGATTTGTAGAAGCGCTGAGTACTGACAACTGCAACTGAAGTCAATGGGAGCTGTGCTTGAATATATAAAGTGCTATATAATGCTAAGTACTCTGAAAACTCAGGTCCTAGGCATCTCAAATTGGGCACCCAAAATTAGTGGAAACTTTTTGCCTTAATTTCTCCCTGCCTCAGTTCCACATTTCCCTAACCCCTCACCTCAGGGGCTTTGTGAAGATGAATTAATTAATGTTTGTGAAGCAATCAGGTACCATAGTGGTGAGTGCCTAGAAAAGCCCATAGGAAAATTAATAATTCGGTCTTCATAGCAGGGTTGTAATAGTGTGTGGTAAACAAGGCCTTAGGCCACATACTGAAAAATGAGGATAAACCCAAATATTTATTAGCTGTTCATTAATTGAGCATGGTCCATCCTGTGTTCTTTTATTGTGGTTTTTTATCTGTAATTATTATTAAGGATCCCAAGTTGTTTTACAGAACCTATTTGTCTGCAGATGAAATTCAGCCACTTTTCATGATAGATATAGGACAGCTGTTCACAAACACTGCTGAACAATTTATTTTTAGGAGGTAGAGTGAAGAATAACATATCCATTTTAAACTGGAGAGGGAATGTGAGTAAGCACAATGTAATCATGTGAGTTGGAATTTGCCCAGCGCTCTGGAAACTAACTCTAGTATATGAAAGTCTAGGGAATTTGTTCTCTCTCACCATGTTGAGGAGTGATTGTCAGGAGGTTAGAAATATTCTTGGGGGATCATTACACTTTCAGAATCATTTTCTAATCTGCAATCCTTAGCTAATAAGGGTAAAATTGATGCTATGAATGGGTAAATAATAATTATAGTGCTGTTCCTGTAGAGAGACAGAGCTGAGACTACAGAAGAATTTGTCCTACCAGGCTTACTTTGTTTATAACCAACTGATGAACAGATGACTCATGGTATCTTAACCTTAATGCATAGAGTTGAATTTTATGAGGACAAGATATCCATGTGTAGATTTTCTTCTCTAACCATAGGCCATTTAAGTTCTTTTCTCATAAGTCACACGTTCCTCTGATCTGTTGCCAGAATCAGTTTGTACTGAGGCTGAATCCAATACAAACATTTGTTTTCCCCAGAGCACTAATTGAATATTGATGCTAGTGATGGCTGAATTAATGGTGTGCTTGTGTGCAATAGCCACTGAAATACATTCACGTTTAAGCATTTCTTTGCTTTACTAACAGACAACAGTTTCCTTCTTGAATACTTGAAGTGCAGCTAACATTTTTTTCATGAGAATCAAAACACTGCCAGAAGTAATAGTTGAAATTATATAAGGAATGACTAATGTGGAAGGAACAAACACTAGGCAATAGTGAAAGATGTAAGAAACAGTGGACAAAAGGTAGGCTCTGATTCAACAAACCATCCCTAATCAGCAAAGTGCTGAAGTACTTTGTTGAACCAGGACCTTAAATTGGAAATTCAGACAGAATTGTTTCTCCCTTTGCTTCTATGCTGTCTCTCAAATTTATTCAAATAGCATATTTGCATTTTACAGACGTTGGGGATATTGCGGGAATGAAGGATTAAGCGCTCTGTGGAAAGGGTTGTCTCTTCAACTGTCTTCATACAGTGCTCAGTCCAAAGGAGACCTGATCATGATGGTAATGCCCAAAGAATCCAGTAATATAAATGATTAAAAATGACATACAGTGGATAGGGCTGTTAGGAAAAGACTACCTTTTCTTGAAATACGTCCCTAAAGGAAAATTGAAATAGTATAGGAGTACAGCAATTGTGTGTATTTGTTTGTATGCATACACTGATATCTAGAATATATTGTTGCATAAAATCATATAAAGTGCTAAAAAATCTAGTATTTGAAAGACTTGAAATATTTTTTTTAATAAAAACTAGTCATTTGATTTAAAAGGATGAGTGTAATGTTAAATATGCTTTTAAAAGTGTAGAAAATGGAGATAGGTCTACACAAGTCATCTAATCCAGTGGTCTCCAAACTTTTTTGATCTCGCACCCCATCAGTAAAAAAATTTTGAGCACGCACCCCCTGCCGCGCCACAGAGCCGGCTCTACCATTTTTGCTACGCCAAGCAAAAAAACCCCCCAAAAAACAAAAAAAAGCTGCTCGGACTCCCGCCCAAACTGCCGAAGCAAAAAAAAAAAAAGCTGCCCGAACTGCCGAAGTGGTGCTGCTCTGGCGGCACTCCTCCTGCCGCGCAACCCGAAGGATCCTCTTGCGCACCCCACTTTGGAGACCACTGATCTAATCAATGAACTAAAAGCTAATTATTAAAATAAACTGTTAGCTACCTTCTCCTGAACTAATATTTTTATGGTATTTCTTTAAATTCATGAGTAACGCACGTAAGATATGTCACAGAGAGAAACTTGTGTAAGTTTTATTATCATTTTTGTGTTTGCCATTCTTTAAATCTCATTGATTTTAATATTGTGTAGTTGTACAGATATATTCCAAACAGTTCAAATAAAACTGATTAAATCGTTTTTTCATTTCTTGTTTTCTTGGTTTTCTACCTCTGAGAACAAGGCAATAAAATTATATGATGACTAGATTCACTAGCAAAATCAGTGATGGACAAAGATGACGGATTGAAGTCCTCTCTCTAATCCCAGAAAGAAATAAAAAACCAAACAGCAGTATTACAAGCTTCCTGATTATGTACAGCATTAAAGCCAATGGAAGTTATGTTTCCACCTGCTATGGGGAAGATCTATTAATACTGTACTTAAATAATACTTAGCTCTGATTCAGTGCTTTTTATCTTCCAGACACTCAACGAACATTAATTAATTCATCCAAAAACAACGAGGAGTCCTTGTGGCACCTTAGAGACTAACAGATTTATTTGGGCATTGGTAGATGTGCAGGTGAACGAGCCCCTGATGGTGTGGCTGATGTGGTTAGGTCCTATGATGGTGTCCCTTGAATAGATATGCGGACACAGTTGGCAACAGGGTTTGTTGCAGGAATTGGTTCCTGGGTTAGTGTTTCTGTTGTATGGTGTGTAGTTGCTGGTGAGTATTTGCTTCAGGTTGGGGGGCTGTCTGTAAGCGATGACTGTCCTGTCTCCCAAGGCTTGTCAGAGTGAGGGATCATCCTTCTGGATAGGTTGTAGATCCTTGATGATGCGCTGGAGAGGTTTTATTTGGGGGCTGTAAGTGATGGCTAGTGGCGTTCTGTTACTTTCTTTGTTGGGCCTGTCCTGTAGTAGTTGACTTCTGGGTACCCTTCTGGCTCTGTCAATCTGTTTCTTCACTTCCCCAGGTGGGTACTGTAGTTTTAAGTTCAGCTCCCTGGACACTCAATAACAGACCTAAAAGTGGCCATTCTTCAACAAAAAAACTTCAAAAACAGACTTCAGTGAGAAACTGCAGAACTGGAATTAATTTGCAAACTAGACACCGTCAAATTAGGCCTGAATAAAGAGTGGGAGTGGCTGGGTCACTACAAAAAAGTAATTTCCCCTCTGTTGATACTCACACCTTCTTGTCAAATGTTGGGAATGGGCCAGATACACCCTAATTGAATTGGCCTCGTTAGCACTGACCCCCTCACTTGGTAAGGCAACGCCCATCTTTTCATGTGCTGTATATTTAAACCTACTTACTGTATTTTTCACTCTATGCATCTGATGAAGTGGGATATAGCCCACGAAAGCTTATGCCCAAATAAATTTGTTAGTCTCTAAGGTGCCACAAAGACTCCTCGTTGTTTTTGCTGATACAGACTAACACGGCTACCCCTCTGAAACCTGTAATTCATCCAAAGACAACTAAAAGACCCCAGAGATAGTAACAAAAATGACTATTTTAATGGAATCTTAAAACTAATCCCAAAGCTCTTCTTGAATGTTGTTATTGCAGTGGGAAAGATGCTAATTTGAATTTTTCATACAGTTCAGACATTATAAGTGGCAATGTTGTTCTCAATGTTTTAAAGCACTGTTATACCAGCATAATATCAATGTTTGTGAGCCAAGCTGGCTATAGAAGTCTAGTCAGGAATGAATAATAGATATCTTCTCTTTTTGAAGATTGATGAGGATGTATTCTGTTCTGTACATATTGAGCTACTTATGTTCTATAGTTGAAAACAGGGAAGGTGAAACCCAAAATATCAAATCTCTTTATGTTTAGCAAGTATGTTAACTTGTGTGTCACTTCCAAAATAATTCCTTAAATATGTTTCAAATAATTTTCTTCAGTTGTCTAATATAGAGATGTTGAGAATGTTTTTAAGCAGGAAAACAAATTTCATGTTCCAGAGAGCTGCCTTAGAATGTTGAATGCTCTGTTTTTCAACAGGACAGATACTGCATGGGTGAGAGCATTGAAGTTTTTCTCACTGCACATTATTCCTGTATCGTAACTGGGGCTTTGTCTACACAAGCATTTTTCCATCAAATTTCCCACAGTGGCTGTAGTAGTAGTGCAGTTTGGCTGGTGGTAGCAATGGTGGGAGTGCTAGTGTTGACCAGCTGCTGATGTTTAAACTAGCATGTCATCTAGTCCTGCTCAGAGGAGGCCTAGATGTCATGATAGTAAAAACATCAGCAGCTGGTTGAAACGAGTACTCCCACCATTGCAATAGTAGTAGTACAGTGGCAGAAAATGCTCATCTAGACACAAAGAGCATTTTTCCATGTTACCTACTATTTGGACTTCCCTAGGGTGCCTGTAGTAGGGCACCTGTCCATCCACAAAGTTACTCCAAATATTGCATGAGCATTTGTTTACATCACCATGAGGGTTGCCATGCTAACTATTGAATCATTCACCATGTTGTCTATTTCCACCATAGCAGTCCCAGTGTAAACTGCAAGTATTGGCAGAGCAGCTGCACCCATCCTGTTGGTCTTCCTTATGCAATCCCACAATGCTGCTATCCAGTCTTCAGAGATCCCAGGAATGTGAGTGAATGCTGAGAATTGTGGATACTCAGCATATTTGAAAATCAGGCCTGATGTGCTGTGTCAGGTTCTTCTTTCCTTTTTAAAAAGATTTAAGCACTGTCCCCAAGTTGAAAAATGACCTCTTACCAAGAATCCTGTTTATACTCAACCACTGGCTCTTTCAGAGCTCTAATCTGAATTGCCTTGCTTATTTCTGGAGACCAGTTTTTATGGTTGAGGGAAGGAAATCAAATTTGGCTTCAGATAATCAGCTTCCCATTTCCATCTTACTTTTTAAATTGTTTTGGACTTTTTAAGCCCTTATGCAGTTTTCCTCTCACCACCATCTAAGCTAGGAAGAAGCGAGCAGACACCAACCACACCGGCTCTTGAAAAGATAACAAGATAAGAGAAACAAAAGCAGAAGCTGGAATTTGCAGCCATTCAATTCAATAGGAAGCTGCAGCATTTCATTTTTGGTGCTGTGTGGGGCTTTGTATCAGCAGACCTCCCATTCACTCATTCCAATGTATCATCTAGCCCTGGGCAAACACTTCTGGATTTGAAGCTGGGTGAATAATTAACATGATTTTTCTGCAAACGTGTAGTTGAATTCTAAATCAAATTGGGTCTGACCAACCTTGAAGTAAGGTTTCTCACATGAAGGTTCAGGACAAAGGTCATATTCCCATGAATGCACTGATATGTTTGTGCCCTGTGAAAATAGCAAACCAAACAAGGAAATGGCTGCTCACAAACATAACTGCAGTTGCCCTATGTGACTGTTTAAATCTGTGGCTCTCATATATAGCCAAAAGATAATACCTTCTAGAAAATAGGAACTGAAAAGGTTTACAGTTTCCTAAAATTCCCTCAGTCTGCTTCTTCTTCCATCTTTTTACTGAAATAATTGAAACCCCACTAATTTATTTACTCTTTTTTCCTGTTTATTAAATTAGGTCATCTGATCACGGAGCATAAAACATACCTTATGACTTACGTGACAGACTCACAGCTCAGAAATCAACTTGTGAATACTGATGCTTGCAGAAAATAGCCCGAGCAACTCACAGGTAAGTCTCTGCAATACAAATCAAACAAATGAATGCAAACTAACAATTTTGTAGAACTTGGGATCTGTTTGTAGAATAGGGGCTTATTATATTTAGAACCCCCTTCTGGATTCGCTTTTTGGTGGTTCTCCATTTTGAGTTTCCTCAGGAGTGGATTGTTCTTTCAACTTGTATTTACATTTCAACATTACACAGCTGGGTGATTTTTGTGATCGGGTCACCTCTTCAAAAAGTAGTGGACTGAAACAACCGATTCATTTCAGACAGATCATTAATCAATCTTTAGATGCTAACTGGTTTTGGTCACTATTGACCTTAACTGGATGTAAACCTGGTGACCTAGAGGTGCAAGCCTCCGAGCATTACACAGACGACAACCTTTTAATGGGTCTGTTTTAGGGCTTAATTTTTTATAAAGCATCAACAGACTTCAGAAGGGCATAAATGTACAAGCTTTGCTGGCTGCCTTGTTCCTTTATGACAACAACCATAAGGCATAGGGAGAAGATATTTTGAAACTTTCATTCAAAATACATTTTAAAATATCTAAACTAAGATCTTAATGATTTCTCCTATACTATACCGGGTGGATTTGTGCATGTATAGTGGAGGCCTATGGTATGGTGATCAATCATAGCCTCTTAGGTAGACTATTCCTGAGCTGCAACCCCAACAATCTAGTCCCATGGTTAGATCTAAGACAGGTGTTGGCCACTTGGGACGTTCTAACTACACCTCTACCCCGATATAACGCGACCCGATATAACATGAATTCGGATATAACGCGGTAAAGCAGTGCTCGTGGGGGGGGTTATATAAGTTCGATATAACGCGGTTTCACCTATAATGCAGTAAGATTTTTTGGCTCGTGAGGACAGCGTTATATCGAGGTAGAGGTGTACTTTCTTTGGGCCTCCAGTTCCAGTGTTAAAGTCTGACTCCTGTACACTGATCTGAGACTGAGGTCCAAAGAATTCAGAGGAACATGTACAATTCTCTGTGAATTGCCTGCATTGTATGTTTTTATCACAGTCTTTTGAAATAACAGTTCAGTGCCTGTTTTCTGTTTAGGACCTCAGTATCATTTAGCTCCATACTGGGTTTTTGGTGAGTTTTCATGTTGCCAAGTGGTTGTTTCTCACAAAGAACCCTCCAGACACAATAGGCTTCAAGTGGGAATTTTTAGCAAGGTCTTGATTTTAATATTGTGTGTTTGCTGCAAGTTGATCATGTATCAGAACTTTTATCATTTTAAATGATGTTTGACTAATAAAGACAGATTTAGACAGTATGCCACCTCCCTGAGGAGCTCCTATCAATTACTTAATGAGATGGTAGATTCAAAATATTCGCATAGCAAAAAAATGGAAAACATAACAGAATTAATAGGTTTTACCATTAATATTGTCATGAATGTTTCTTTCTGGGAGTAAACACATCATCAGTCAGCAGAAACCAAGTTATTTTTTCAGTCTAATTATCTTACTTTTAATTACTGTATTTCATTCTTCTAGTTTATTCAACTGATGGTCTATAGGTAGGGTTATTACCCTTGCTCTGATTCTCCTTTATTGTACTCTTGATGTAGATAGCCTGTCACATCACAAATAATACTGGAGAAAATGGTCATTTATGCTTGACTGCTTCTTTACTAAAATATTTTATGAGGGCTGCCTGCTTTATATCATCACATTCTATTACCTATCTCTACTTAAGAAATGGAGACTGTACTTGATTTTAATAAAAGTAATTTGGTAACAGCAACTATATGTTATTCTTCTAATATGTAGTATTATTAGTATATAATCTTATTTTAGAGGTAACATTTTACAGCTTATTTACAGCACTAAGTGAACAGTAGCAATTAATGTTAAATTATTTATTAATTGTTATAGTTTAGTCACATGGATCAGATTATTCACATATTATCGACCAACAGGATCAGACTTGAAAGTTAGATTTAACATTTTTTTAACTGCAGCTCAGTTTGTGAGTGTAATAAAACTATAGGTGATCTAGATGTGAGTCACCCAGGGAAATAATAATAATTCTGCATACCCTTTCCCACATTTAGAAATGATTTTGTATGTCTATAGTGCAATCAGAGGAGTGACCAAAGCATGTGTGGACATACCCAAGCGAGCTTTGATCTAGTTAGCTCGAGTAACAATAGCAGTGAAAGCTACAGCAGCACAGGCACTATTGAAACCTGGGAAAACTCAATACCTTTCCTGGCTGCCCTTCACAACCTACTCCCACCCTATCTAATATCTCTCATTCACTATTGAAATATTGACTCCAACATCTGATCGGCCCAGATGCCGGCCTCCATCGCCCACTTGTTAAATTTTCAAACAAGCATGTTAGTGCTTTCTCCCATGCTGCCTTTCACGCTTCAGAGGAGCTCCCTGTAAACATCTGCAAAGCTACTTTTTTATCCACCTTCAAAACCTTGCTTAAAATTTTTCTCTACTGTAAAGTCTACAAAAAAATTGACAACAATTAGGCCACTAGTGCACTGATGCCACTGCCCATCATGGTGATCAATATTGCCTCAGTTTCCTTGTGTTCCTCTGTGTCCATCTGTTGTATCTTATTTTATCCTTAGATTCTAAGCTCTTTGGGGCAGCTGCTGTGTCTTTGTTCTTTATTTGTACAGCGCCTAGCACAATGGGGTCCTGGTCTTTAACGAGGGCTCCTTGGTTCTACACTAATGCTAAATAATAATACTTTTTGCAAGCACTGTCTGTGTATTAAACAAGGAAAGCCTTATTAATGGGAAAAGGAACACAGCATTAATTTGGGAATATACAGCAATAATAAATCAACAGTATGTTTATAAGAATAATAAGTAAGACACCACCCACACAGGATTATTAGCAGTAGTTGTTTGCCTCAGTTTCCCTACCTGCCAGTGTGAACATCTGATGGACAAATGCCCCTATCACATACCACTGCTCTCCTTCCCCTATTCTGCAACCCACTTGTGGCTTATTTAGAAGGACTAGTGATGTCCTAGAGTATGGGAGTGCAATAGGACAGGTCCATCTCCAGCCCCAGGTCGGTGGTGGTGGGAGGGAATGCTGCCTGACTTCCATCGAGATAGGCCTTGCTACTGTCTCTGCACCATCACCTTTGAATCTTCTCTTGCTGCATTGTTGCCTCTAAGTCATCTCTCTAGCCATGATGCCAAGTCCAGGTCCTAAGGCTTACCCACCTAGGCCACCTATAGTGATTATAGCTCTAGGGGTGCTGGAGAGTCACTCGTTGCCATCACTTTTACATCAGCTCTCATCACAGTGCCAGATCCAGGTCCTTAGCAGAGTTCATTCACTGCTGATCATTAAATTGAGGAAGGGGGTTCAGTGCCATAGAAGACCCTGAAGCAGAGTCCTTGCCACCAGGGATTCACTCTTCACCACAACATAGAAGCCCCTTTCCTCTCCTTCCCTGTCTTGTCCAACTCCACTCTCCAGCCATGCAAAACTGAGTAAGTGTAGGTTTGTTAACCTTTTTATTACCCCTACACGCACATTTGAATCTTAACTAAAAGGACCAAAATGTTCACAGGATGTTGGATAACAAATACGCAAATAAAGCCTGGAGTCAGTGTATCTCTTATTTTTGTTGACTGTTAGATGGAGGCAGAAAGCCCCTTCCCTAGCGATCTAGTGCTGCCACAGACTTGCATTATAATATAAATAATAAATACATCTTCTAAAAAAGCAATAATTTTCATTCAGTATCTAAAGCAACATATGTACAAAATCTAAACATTGTTTCCCCAGATCCCCTGAGAGCAGAACCCTTTTCTAATCAAGTTGAGAATAACAGGAGTTGCAAACCTTTAAAAGGCTAGGAGTATCTATTGTTCACTTTGAATCAAGGAAATTCTACATGTTGGTTTGATATTTCTGTTTATAATATGAATGCCTGTATCTTCCTCTGGAATGCCAGATAGATCAGAGAAAACAAGTAGCTTTGCTTCACAGACAGTAAATAATTTCATCAATATTTTGATAGCCCTTACTTGACAGCTCACTGTATGCCAGCCTCACATCTCAGATATGTATCTCTAAACAGACTCAGCCATGGGATTTAATAATAGACTGGGTGTATATACTGTATGTAACCTACGATAAACATTCATATTACTTGTTAATGGAATTATGGCAACTTTTCCTGTAACTAGCTGCCCTGGGAGATTATGTTCAACAATCCTTGTTAGGTAGAGATAGTCAAAGAATGTACAACATAATTAGCTTCTGTTGTGTATGATGAGAAAAGAATTTGAGCTATCAAAAGCCCAAGAAAAGCAAGCATTAACAAAAAGCAAGCACACATTATCATAGTATTAAGTTTACAACCATATATATCAGGCAATACAAAAATTAAGTTAACAGAAACATTAAATTGTTCACACTAAAAATATCTAATCTTTTAAAATACAAGGTCTATTATGAGTAATCACTATCGTGAATGTTTTGCAGTCTGATTTGGGGTCAGTGGTTCATTGCCAAACCGGGAGGACATATCTAGTGGGGTTTTGCAGGGTCTGTCCTGGGTCTGGTACTATTGACTATTTTAATTAATGGCTTGGATAATGTAGTGAAGAGAATGCTTATAAAATTTGTGAATGGGGTTTAAGCACTTTGGCGGACAGGATTAGAATTCAAAATGACCTTGACAAACTGGAGAATTGATCTGAAATCAACAAGATGAAATTTAAGACAAATGCAAAGTTCTCCACTGAGGAAGGAAAAATCAAATGAACAACTAGAAAATGGGGAATAACTGGTGAGGCAGTAGTAGTGCAGAAAAGGATCTGGGAGTAACGGGATCTCAAATTGAATATGAGCTAACAATGTGATGCGATGGCAAAAACGGCTAATATTTTGGGGTGTAGTAACAGGAATGTCATATATAAGTCGTGGGGTAATTGTTCCACTCTATTTAGCACTGGTGAGACCTCAGCTGGAGTATTGTGTCTGGGTTTGGAA